GAGCTGCAGCTACACCCCGGTGTCCTCCGTGGAGGTGACCGGCTGTTTACATCCAGGAAGGATGCACTGACAAGCCCCAAATAAAGCACAGACACCTGAGGCAGTACAGCCAAATGTTTTATTCGTGTCAGCCTGCATGAAAACAAACAGTCTAGTTCTTGTAGCCTCTGCTGGCTCTGCGGCCGCGAGCTCTCTCAAACTTCCTGCCCTTGGAGCGAACGTAGGGCCTGGAAAAGACAAAAAATAGTGTTAAACTCAATATTACAGCAACACACACACAACATGAAACGGATTCTTTCATGCAGACAGTCCACTACGGACGCCAATAATTAGATGTTTGGTCTCTGAAATATCAGAAAATATTGAGAAATGTGGATGAACATCCCTCAAAGACGTTCAGTTTAGTGTCACAGAGGAAAGAAAGCAGAAAATATTTATACTGAAGAAGCTGAAATCCCTCAGTTTAGACGTTTTTTTGTCAAGAAATGACTCAAACTGATCAATCGATTATAAAAACAGCTGATTAATTGATCAGGCAAACGGACTCTACTGCTGATCAGTTCAGACAAGAAGGGTTTTAGGATTTTTAGGAAATGTTTTGGCTGCGATACAAAGTCAGACTTACATATAATAAATATAATAAAGGTTTTTACTACAAAGCTTACAGTAAATATATGTATTTGGAAGTCACGTATTGATTTGTGTATTTTTTTGCAAACATAAAGGAGTGATATTAGAAAACGGCTGCAATAAAGGATTTTGAAAAATTATTTTCTGGATTAGTTTGGTTTAAAAAATGTCAGAAAAAAAAGACAAAAGTCCAGAAGCTGGTCTGTAAAAACATTTGGCTCCAACATGAGACAAGAAGTTTGAAGTCACCAAAGTTTGGATTTCTGTTCTGGAAATTAAAGCAATTAAAGTTTAATGAGTGAACAACTAACCAGCTTATGTAAACACAAAACTCACAAAAAAACAGTCAAGTTTTGAAGTAATATTTGTTAATATTTTGCCATTAAGTGCATTTCAGATGATTTTATAAAACCTTTCTACAGCCTGAGCTTCATAATCTAATAATGAAACTTTCACAAACATCCGTTCGGCTCCATCAGAGGATTTCTAGTCCTGAAAACTCGGCGGCCTTTTTTTAGTAGATGACAAATTCCAAGCCCGCTGGCAGAGTGTTTGTGAGGCAGGAAGTGTGTGAATGAAGCCTTTCACAGCGACGTATTTACGCCATCCTGTGAATCACAATCGCACCGCGTCCACACACCCTGCGTCACGCTCGCACTTCAAATACCTGGAAGGTCTGGAATTCAATGCATCATCTCAGGAGCAGGTTTTGTAACCTCACAAACAGCCACATGTGCACCCACAGCAGCAGTCTGTGGGCTTCAGCGCCACCCAGAGGCCACGGTTCAGACTGCAGCCGACTACAAACACCTTTCTGAGCTCCATGAATGCAGCAGTTTGGGGCTAAAGGCAGATTTACACCAACAAAAACCATTTCTGCTCTTTAATCTCTCTGAACTGCTCCTTTAAAAGAGATTAATTAACGAGCAATCTAGTTAACTAGTTGTGTTAATAATTAGTCAGACAGAAGCTCCATGTTGAAAGGAAATGACTGGATCCTGCTAGAAATAGCTTCTTTGCACAACAAAGTTCATTTCAGTCATGTTAGAATATCAGCCTGTGTGTGGTACTGACGATCAGAGGGAGTGTCCTGGATGTTGAGCATTCAGCCTCATTAATAAGAGCCAAAACAATGAAATGATCAGATGTCAGCTGTTAAATTAACTTGCAAATGTTTTGATAACTGATTAAAAACGCTCTACGTTCTGATTGCAGCTTCTTCAGTGTGAATATTTTCTGGTTTCTTGTCTTTGTGACAGTAGACTGATGCACATTTCTTAATATTTTCTGACATTTTACAGACGAAACAACTGAATTCATCTAGAAAATAATCAACAGATTGATGATAAAAATAATCCGTTACAGTCCCGTCCACCTCCAACAGGACCGTCGCTGTGGTCTGTTGGTGGTTTTTAGCACGAATTCAAGAGAAGCTACATTTAAATCCATTTATTCAGCCTCTTTAGGGCAACAGCTCACAATTATATTTGCTATTTTCTATTATTTTGTCCTCAGAATGTGAGAGGACAGTGAAAATGTTTCAAAACCAAAAAAAGACTTGTTTTGTTCAACCACAGGTTTTTGGTATTTTACAGACCAAACTATTAAAAGAACAATCGAGAAAATATTTGTTATATTTAAACCCTAAAACCTTTACTTATGTGTGATAACTTTAAGGTGAAACGCTGATTAAAATGAAGAGACATAAATACACCACGTTCACCTGCTTTTAAATGCTTTGACAAAAGGTTCTGGTTGAGGTTCTGTCAGTAACAGTCTGATACCAACAAGTCATCAGTAAGCTGCAGGAGCCCCTTTTTAAAGTAACCCAGACCAACAATCCTCATTTCTGGTCTACGCTGTACCCAACAGACTAATCAGCTTGTTGTGGCGTTAAATCAGTCGTGTACGTACTTGGTGTGGCTGTGAGGAGTTCCAGGAGCCTTTCCAAAGTGCCTGTACACCTCTCTGCCTTTACGGGGTCCTGGAGAAGAAAATAACACGACAGGTTAAAAACAGAACCCTCATCAGGTCCAGGCTAAAGATGGCGTCTCCCATTCAAACACACGTTTTAAAGTCAGGCTGCAGTTTGTTGTGACGCCTCATTCAGGATGAGAACTGTCCTCATTCTCTACTATGTGACTGAATCTACAGCAGCAGTCTGACAGAATATCATCTTCTCTGATTTAAGGCCTCTAGAGGTTTGTTTTCTTATAACTATTAAAATGACACTGGGTTTGTCAACACGAGCAGAAACACTCAACAGTCAGATCTGGCAGCAGAACGTCATCAGCTGTTGGGATGTCGTCGACCCAAAACAGATTCTCCGTCAGCAATTAAACCAAACGAGGCAACGATTTGTCTTAACCGTTTAAATCAGCAGCACAAAGTTCTGGAAAGTCCGATCTGAACTGATCCAAACCTGAACACTATTCTAGACGCCTGTTGCACCAGATGAGAAAAGTTCTACAGCGTGACAACTTTTTATTTTTCTAAACAGATTCCCTCCTCCATAAAATCTGAACTACTTCCTCAAGATTCCTTCCACTCACAAAGTGTTATTCAAATGTAAATATCTCCATAAGTTTCCAATATCATGGCAGTAAAAGTGAGGCTTGAACCAAACAGTGTAAAAAAACAGGAAGAAAAAAGAACATCAGCTGAAGTTACAGATGGTATTTTTAACCTTCATTGAGCACAAAGGATGAAGTGATTTACTGAAAACTGGCCCAACACATGTATAACTACAAACACAGCAAAACGTACACGTGGTTATTGGTACTGTTTGGCTAATTCTTCTAATTCAGGGGGGTCCAATCCTGGTCCTGGAGGGCCACAGTCCTGCATGTTTTAGATGTGTCCCTCTTCCAACACACCTGATTAAAACAATCAGCTCATCATCAAGCTCTGCAGAAGCCTGATAACGATCCTGATCATTTGGATCAGGTGTGTTGGAAGAGGGACACATCTAAAACATGCAGGACTGTGGCCCTCCAGGACCAGGATTGGACCCCCCTGTTCTAATTACACCCAAGTTATCCTGGATTAATGTCGAGTAAAAGCAGAAGTGAGCTGCAGACGTCTTAATGACGGCGTAACTCAGATCATTCACCTGAGCTGAAGCCATGATACGATAAAAACCTGTTTAATTCAGATATTCTAACGTACGGGATTAAAAAACGAGTCGATATTTGATCTCTTGGTTCTGCAAACAACCTGCTAAAGATAAAAAAACGTGGCAGGAGGACTGTGGCTATCCACCAGCAGCCTGTTTCCTGTGGTTCTGATGATCCTACTGATCATGAAGCAGCGTGTTCGGTTACCTGACAGCAGCACCGTGCCGTGTCCTTTGGGTGAAGTCAGAGCCAGCTGGTCGAAGGTCATCACCTGACCTCCTGCCTTCAGGATGCGGCGGCGGGCGCCGTCGGTGACCCTCAGAGCGCAGATCTGTGGGGCAACAAACGGGACGTCAGGACCAACGGTGCCGTCAGTACGCAGCCATACGTGGAGAGAAACGTTCATAGACAGGCCTCTACCTTGAGCTTGGGGATATCCTGAATCCTGACATCATCGGTGACGGTTCCCACGACAACAGCGATTCTGTTCTCACGGCCGGGAAGCTTCATCTTACGGATCTAGTTAGTAGAAAACACAAATTAGGTTCAGCAACAACAAGGATCAACTGTCTCACCAGACAGAACTTAATGCAACTCGCTGGCGTCTGGAACACGACGTGAACACGACGGCAACGTTTAGTTTGAACCCAAATTATATGTCTGTAAATTAAACTTTTTAAAAAATGGCATCAATGTTGAGAAGCAACAAAACTAACCAGAGCCAAACAAGAAGACACACAAACCCAGATAGATGCAAAAACCAGAACCTTCAGAAAGCAAAACAGACACAAACCAATGATTCACAGATACTCAAAAGAAAAAAGCTCAATCAGGGCTCTTTTCCATTGGATCTGAGTTCTGTATACCTCATTGCACACATGTCTGTGCACCATTTTCTGCAGTCACATGACATCAGAAATGTGGCGGTCGGAGCCAAATCCACAAAATTGAACAAACTGACAGAAAAACACAAATCTACACATCATTGGACGGATGAACAATGACTGCGGCTGCACAGTATCTAAGATCTGGGTCATCCAGGTGACTCTGTCCCTGACCGCGGTGGAAACAAGCCGGACCAAGCATCCAGGACATTTAACATGTTTGTACTCTTAAACTCTTCATCACGGCACCTAAACGTTGTGAAGCAGAAACGGCAACCAGCTGAGCTCCGGGAAACACCTGGCTACGTATGCAAAGTGTGTAGCAACAGTCAAGCTTCAGTGTTGGTTCTTAGACTTCTTATTCCTGCCTTTAAACTCACACGTGAGGATTTAATATGACTGTACTTCCTGTGCTACATTCTAGTATATTATATGGAGCTTATGTTTCCAGCAGGCATTACACTTAAGTCTGTCATTTTAACCAACCAGTTTAGCTTCTGGACGTGTCAAATGCCAGATATGACCGTCACAATATATTTACATTCTATGCAGCTCCAAGCAGACGGACATCGTTTCCAGTTTAAATGCAGACGCTGACCAAATGAAAACTGTCAAAACAGGCGTCTAGAAGAGGACATGCTTCGTACTACCGCTGGCTAAAACAATCAAACTACGCAGTAGTTTATAGTCGCGGCCGAGGTGATGGAAAGGAGACTGACCAGGCGGGAGACGGAGATGGGCGGCCTGTTGGTCCTGCTCATGAACAGCCTCCTCAGGACGACCTTGTTGAAGGGAGCATTGGAGCGACGGGCCAGGAACCTGTACAGCTGAGAAAAACACCGGGACCGTCAGAAAACAACTCAAACTACCAAAATAGTAGAAATGTTCACTGCTCCTCGTGTTCTTCCTGCACGGTGTGAACACCACCTACCTTGACCAGGAGCCTCAGGTAGATGTCCTGGCTCTTTGGCTCCTTCCTGTGCACCTTACGGTCCTTGTTGTGTCTGATGTCGACTCCCTGGAACAGAACCAGACTCGTGTGTTAGTCCATCAACACCTTTAAAGCTTCATTTGTCTACCTCACACCATATAACACAGTGAACTACACTGATCACATCTCTGGCCTCTAAGCTTCATTACTAAGCCTGGCAGCGTACACTGAGAGCAAATGCTGCTAAACCCCAGTTAACGTGACAATGAGATGAATTTACACCAGTTAAACTACACCTCGTCCACATCAGCAGCCCAACATGGAGCAGCGGCCGGTACACACGTTGACACTACAGCTAGCTGCTAACTCCAGCGGTGCAGCTAACCAGCTAACAGGGTCGGTTCAGGCCACATTTCACATTTAGAAACACAGGAGAAACGCAAACGGCGATTTAAACACAATATTCCGCATTTTAGAACCTTTAAAGCGGATTTCAAGTCAAGGCTTGAGCGGCTAACTGCTCAGCCCCACCGCGGCTCTACAGAGGGAAAGCTAATGTGAAATATATGGTTAAACAACACGAAATCAAGACCTGACTGTATCGTAAAATATGTTTAAAGCACGTAAATGTTTTCACTAAGATTGTGAGATGGTTTAATTCAGAGGATGACCGCGGATTCTCAGGCTATCGTGTTTTAAAAATTCAGCTAGCGGCACCTACCATCTTGGACTCAGAGCGAAAAGGGAAAAGGAAGAGCCGAGGTCTCGCGATAAGCTGTGCGCTCAAATCTCGGCGCCCTGATTGGTCACTGAGCATGCGCTTCCTGCCCGGAGGAAGTGAGAACAGTAAAGATGGCGCCTCTAGCGGTGAAGGGCGGTGCTTATTTATGTCGTTTTTATTTGAACTACATGTTTGAGCGAAATGTATAAAAACAGGCAAAAATCCCAGCCCTGAATTATTCACAATCCTTACAGATATAGATCTTTAGTACATTTTTATTTGCCTAAAAGGTTTATTCAGACTAAAAGTGACATAAACAAATGACAAAATAGAACAATATCTGTGTTTTTTTTATTATTATTTATTTTGGACATGATAGTAAAAACGAAAAATAAACATAGAAATGTCTTGCTGGGTTTTGTTTCTTGTTTAGGTCATTTTCCATCCAGAAAAGACCTGTTGAGACCTGAGGATGAATAATCTTAAACGGTATTTTGTTCTCTAGACGCTACATTGTCCTGTCTAGTAATTAACAGTAAAACTTTAATTCCCTCCTTTCAGCATGTATACGTAAAATATTAAGAAAAAAATATTTTGTTTGATTTTTGCTTTTTTATTGGAGGAAAACATGCCATTAAAGGGACAATAAAAATACAGCCATGGGTCCCACTGAGATTAATATTAGAGTATAACTATTACTACTAATATAAATATATGTTAACTATGTTCGCTAAACGATGAAATTCTATAATACACACACACACACAGTGTGTTTATTGAATAATGAATGCAAAATGTCGTTTTCACAATTTTCAGACAATATGTGTTATTTCTTTTTTTTTTTTAAAGAAGTTTGTTGAAAATGAATGAGACGAATGTAAAAATGTAAACAAAAACTTTATTGGCACCAAAATAAACGGAAACAAGTTGTTCCATCATCAGCAGGATTCAGTTCAACACTGTTTGTGGTTCACATTTGCAGGTATGTTGTTGTTTTAATCAACAACAAAACACAAACAAAAAAAACCAATAAGTCGGGTCTATCTCTGAAATAAAAAACACTGTTAATTCATTACTGAGAGGAAACACAGTTTAGAATCATTGGATATTTAATTGGTAATGTACTCAGTTCAGGGCTGCAGGTGTCTCAGTGGTTAGCACCGTGGCCTCACAGCTGGAAGGTCGCCGGTTCACGTCCCGGTGGGGACACCCGGGATCTTCCTGCGTGGAGTCTCCATGTTCTCCCCGTGCAGCGTGGGTTCTCTCCGGGTTCTCCGGCTTCCTCCCACAGTCCACAAACATGCTGAGGTTAATTGGTGATTGTAAACTGTCCGTAGGTGTGAATGTGAGTGTGCTTGGTTGTCTGTCTCTAAGTGTAGCCCTGTGATAGACTGGTTACCTGTCCAGGTGAACCTGCCTTCACCCTGAGTCAACTGGGATAGGCTCCAGCCCCCCACCACCCTAGTGAGGATTAAGGTGTAGAGATGATGGATGATGTACTCAGTTCTGTTGTTTAATGTATATGAACTAAATCAAGTCATAAATCTTTCCTGATGTTATCGACTGAAAGCTCCGGTCTAGAACCTGTCTGGTCTAGAACCTGTCTGGTCTAGAACCTGTCTGGTCTAGAACCTGTCGTCGTGCTATGAAGGACCCAGGACAGGTTCTATTTCCTCCCTGCTTGTCATGGATCTGCAGAGTTTCAGGTTCAGTCCTGTTTGTGGTCTCGCTGCTGTCTGAGGTGACACAGGAAGATGGTGAACGTCAGAGCGACGCCTCCCAGAAACACAGTTCGAGCCACCGGAGGGACGAAGGTGAAGTTTATCGCCTGAGACGAAGTGGAGAAAAAAAAACCCAAAACATGTCACTTTAAACGTCTGAATGTGTGAATGTGCAGCGAAAAGACGAAGATCTCACCTGCATGGTCGACCAGTACACCACTCCGGTCTAAAGACAAACAGATAAAACTATTATTATTATTAGAGTCCGAGCACTACAGTGCAAGGACCATAATAATAATAATCACAACGGTTACAATAGGGTCCTTGCACTGGAGTGCTCAGACCCCAATAAAACAGTCACTTTATGGTCACATAGTGGAGGGAAAAAATGTATTTTTACTTTTTTCTACTTGTTGTCTGGAATTTAACTAAACAAGAAAATCTAATCTAATAACAGTTTAAAATTATTTATCACTTTCAGTGCTTTACATATATATTTAAAACAACAATATGTGATAATGACATAAATCTGTAAAATAATGACTTTAACAAAAATTCAGGTAAATGAAGCAAAACAGTGTAATTTTACACTCAAATGTTATAAATGAAGACATGAGCGTTTATAAAAACACAGATTTGTACAGAAGCACCTTATAAGACGTCCAGAACTTCTGCCTCCAGTCCTCCAGCAGGTCGTCTTTGTTCTCCAGGAAACTTAAACCTGAAATGAAGTGAAGTGATGTGAGAGCTGGAGGAGTTTAACGTGATTAATTAGTGCATTTACAGTTAACTCAGAGTTTAATCTGAGCTTTTAGTGGAGGCGGCAGATCAAGACCAAAGAATCCACGATTTAACATTCAGTTTATGATGAAGAAAAATCAACAACACGTGGATATTTACTTTAAAAAAATATTGAATTTAGCATACAACTGTAGTCATTGTCATTAGGGACCCAACTATCCATCCATCATCTCTACACCTTCATCCTCACCAGGGTCATGGGGGGCGGAGTCTATCCCAGCTGACTCAGGGTGAAGGCAGGTTCACCTGGACAGGTAACCAGTCTATCACAGGGCTACACTTAGAGACAGACAACCAAGCACACTCACATTCACACCTACGGACAATTTACAATCACCAATTAACCTCAGCATGTTTCTGGACTGTGGGAGGAAGCCGGAGAACCCGGAGAGAACCCACGCTGCACGGGGAGAACATGGAGACTCCACGCAGGAAGATCCCGGGTGTCCTCACCGGGACGTGAACCGGCAACCTTCTAGCTGTGAGGCTACTAGATGCTAAACACCGCGCTTGAATATTCAGATTTTTTGGAACCATTTCTGATTAAAATCTATAAAACATGGATGATTCTAAAGATTTTTTTAAATTCTAAAACAGCTGCCACTAAATTTTGATGCCAGAACCATCATGGGCCAAACTTCAAAGTGGTTCTGTGACATTCTGGGCTGTTGGTTGGACCACTTTGCCACCAACTCGTCCACAAACACTGATCAGAAAAACATCAAACTCAACTTTGGGTTTGTTGCTCTGCTTTGGCACTGAGCCCCTCATCAGACCTGAGCATCACCGTTAAACATGACCAGCAGAGTCCCTGACAGACTCACCGATGTAAAAGGCGCTGATGGTGAGCGGCGCCGCCACCAGCTGGTCCAGAACCACCTTCCCTGCCACCGCCTTCAGGCCGCCGCCCGGCAGCAGCCTCTCCAGCCCTCCCAGCCACTGGTAGTTGAAGTTGGCGTGGAAGCAGAAGCCGACAGTGGCCACCCGGGCCGTCTGAGTCCAGTCCACGGTAGCCGGTTCCTCCGAGCCAGGGTTCTGACCCAGAACCCTCTGCTGGAAGAGGTCGGCCGAGGCGAACAGCGCCGTGTAGCCCAGGACGTTGCTGATGTACGGGTGGGCTTTGAACGCAGCCCAGACCCGGTTCATGGTGCTGGATGTGATCAGAGGAGAGTAAAACTGAATTAACATAAAGTTCTGCAGCTCTGTGGAAACAGAACATGAAGGAGTCTCAGTTGGGCTGAAAGATCAGAACAGAACTTTTAGGATCTTTTTTTCCAGAATCTGGAGCAAACTGTTCATTTTTGGAGAATATTTCAGTCAAACATCAGAACAAAGTGATTTTGAGGACATTAAAGCTTCATTTAGTTTTTTTCCAACAGAGCTGCACATGACCCGTGATCATCAGATCAACCCGACTGCTCCCTTCCTTCTCCAGCTAACAGATGGTGTTACTTGGTGATGTTTTAAACACGGCGTCCAAACCTGTCTGCAGGTCTGAAGGTTTAATGGACGAACCTGCAACAAGAAGTTTTCATTTTCCGGCTGAGAAACGCTCCAAAATAAACCTTTAACATCAGCTGATATTCAGGAAATCAACAGTAACACGAATCACTCAGTAAAGCTGCTTCACATCTTTTTTCTAAACTCTGCAGTGTCCCGGTACCGGTCAGACCCACCTCTCTCTGGGATTCTTCTCCTCTTCAGGCTCCAAACAGACTGATTTCAGCTCGGTTCTGCTGGACGAGGAGAGCCTCCGGAGGTCTTTTCTCGGGTCAAAGTTCTGCTGCTCGTCAGGGAACGTGAGATAAAAAGTTTATCAGCCGGCTGGAGAGGAATCTGAGAAAACAGCACATGTGAAGGAGCGAGCGGGTCAGACAGAACTCCTGCTGCTGAGCTGGTACAGACTAAACTATAGATACTGAATTTACTGCAGGTTTAATGATTGAAGTGGAGAAATGAGGCCTGTGCTCACACACAAGGTGATTTATTGGACCTCTGACACCGTATGAAAGAGCTTGTTGCTCTAATATCTAAACAGGACTCACCGGCTGAGCTGAAGCCACAG